GTTTAAACAAGGAGATCTTAAAAAAAATATCTTAGAAGTGATCTGAAAAGAGGGAAAGTAACACTCTTATCAGGAAAATCTTACTTTCACTAATGACAGCGTTTCATTAGCTCCTGGAGCAGGGACAACTCTTGACTAGGTTGAAGGTTTTATGATTTCAACTCTACACTGGACTCCAGTTTAGTTGAATTCGAGCTAACTCATTTATGAGTAAAAGTTTTCTGAATTTTTTTTTTTTTAACAGAATCATCCAAGACTAAATCCCAGTCAGAGTAAAGCTTCAGCAGGCTTTTAGCCTATTTTAGCTCATATAGGTTTGGTTAATAGCACATTTGTGTTTGCCTTTTGTGGTTTAATGTCTTAATTTTAATTTCCTCCAGCAGCAGCTGTTTTCAGGAAACAAGCTTTTAAAAGCAGTCGAGTGCATGAAGGGGTCAAGGGGGCCATGCGTGAAGTGGCTGCTTGTATTTTTTTTGTAAACTTAATCACATGACTACAAACACAAAGGGAGACTGACAACATGGAGAAGCAAAACGATCACAAAGACATAGAAAGTGACCTTAAGCAAAATCAGCACAGAGGGCTTTGATATGACTACAGAGGGATGCAAAAAGCCAAAGAAGCATGACCGACAACCTTAAAGAGACAAAATAAGAAATGCCACCTGATACACAGAGACGTACAACGAGAGTGAATTTGGAGCTGGCATTGATGAAGTGTAAAAATTCATGTTTTCTTGAGGAGTGATATAAGGTAAGCAGACTGTTCCTTTAGATCCACCTCTATGATAAAATCTACACACATTTACACAAGGAACAGAAACGCATTAAGTGGCTTTGCCCTGACATTAGCCAGTTTTATTACTGTCTCTGAAGGATGAACCTGGACTTTATAATTTCAGTCCAACTGCAAAATCTGGAAAGGTCTGGACTTTTAATCTTGCTGCTTAAATCGTATTGTGTGCATATGATTAAAGAGTCTTGAAAAAAGGAGGGGGAGGCCTGCAGAGGTATTGGTAAGAATGCCTCACCTTCCTCATACCTGCATACTTATAAAGGTGTGTCTACTTAACCTGCCACAGTCATCAGACCCCACCTAGACACACCCTGGGGACTCCCCCTGACTTTGAGGGGTCAGGGCAGGAACTGGTATTTGTGACATGGGTTCTTGTACTCTTTAGGATATCTAAATAATACCTTTAAAACTGATCTGCATATGAAATACAAGGCCTGAAATGCCTAATCCATGATACTAAAGCTTGCATTGTCTTACAAATTGGACCAAACATGTATTACAATTTAAATACTGGTTTAGCTGAAGTTTTGTAACAAAATTCCAAGTCTAGAGCTTTTTCCTCCCTCTGTATCTCCCTCAAACACACACACACACAAGAGGCTGAGTGAGCTAATCAATCAAGCCCACAATCCGTGACAAACCTTGGCTGGAGATTAACTGACCAGCTCACATTCTCTCTCCACCAGTCTCTCTAACACTCTCTCATCCTCTCTGTCTCAGAGGTTGTAGTTAGGGTCATCTCCATGTACACAGTAGTGCAGCCCACCCACTAACACATACACATGCAAACACAGAACCCCCCTGTGGTCTGAGCTCAGTCAGGAAATGAGTTTTGAGCCCGTCTGTCATCATGAGCACTTCTCTCTCTCCACGTCCTGCAGTGAGTACTTATGAAATGTTTCACAGCTGAAGGCTAAAGTGTGAGATAATTAAGAGAGTTCAGTTTTACAAGTTTGGTAGCAGCTCGTTTGAAGCTGTTTGTTGAAATGTAAGGCTTGATCAATGAAGATTTTACCTTACGGAATCTTTTGCAGTGATAAATATTTGATGAGATACCTCAGAGTGAGACATTTCAGAAAATGTTTTGTTTTTTCTTTAGCTACAAAAAACATTTCACAAGTGACAGTTGTGTATGTTTGCTCACTTGGTCAGTTACCAAGGGGTGCCCGCAAAGGAAGCAATTTGCTCTTCACGCTTTGCTCGCTGTTTCTTGCAAGCAGACATTTTGGGCTTTGGTTGCTTACGTAACCCTCTAGCCTTTTTAGTACCGTGTCATATGTCAATCAGCTGTCTCTTTAATTCACATTAAAAGTCTCTGTGATTGCTTGTTTCCGAGTTGAGAAAGATTTACTTGGACCTGCCCACTTTATGTTGCCAGTGGATATTTCTCCTTGAGGTTGTAAATGACATTACTTTTCAGTGGTCTTTTTTTCACCACGATGCTGCCCCTGTTAGTATTGAAAGTGAAAATAAATTGTGATTGTCAAATTAGCTATTTAGCTAGCTTAGAAATAGCTTTTAAATTCAGTATTATAAAGCCTCAAAGCTAAAAACTAAGCTTTTATTTATTTTGATTTATTCAGGACGGTGGCGCAGTGGTTAGAAAACTAAACAAGGTCCTTAGTTCAGTCCTACCATTGTTTGTCTCTATGTGTTAGCCCTGCAACAAACCGGTGACCTGTTCACAGTGTACCTTTCCTATCAACGAAGAATGACTGAAATTGCTTTCCAGCAGTGAAATTGGAGCTTGTAACACTTTGCAAATGTAACGTTTGCAAAGTGTTACAAATTTTACTTTCATTTCAGCTTTGTTTGTTTTGCACTTTTTACAATTTTAAATTGCTTGGCCAATATATGGTGAGTGTTTGGCATTTTGGTTCAGGAATACAATTTTTTCTCTAGTAATTTTTGGTTGCCAGCAGGTTATCCAGTGGTCTCAAGGCCTTTGAGGCTAGCCATCATATTTTTAAAATGTAGTTATGTATTAACACCATTTGTGTTTTTACTCAAATATGTATTTAAACATTTCTTTAAGACCATAGACAGTGTGAGGTTATATTATTCTTACAGTTGCAGCATTTATATATGACTAATTTGTTTCGCCAATTAGGTTTTGTCGGGAAGCATAATTGGAAAAACAAATTAGCAGTATATAAACATAATTTCTAGGAGTAAGGGTTGTACAGTAATGAGGAGAGAATTATAGCGTCCCACATTCATCAGCCATTATATTTTACTTTCTAATTACTTTTTCTGAAAAGAATAGGACTTTGTTGGGTCCACTGAATGTCACACACCATTTAAATACTGTAAACCAAGACTGTTTTTCCTATTTCTGTCGTCTTTTAACAACTAAAAATGTCTCTCTGCTCTCCCAAGCTCCTGTCAGTGCATATAATCTTTCTTGGAGGGATTAAAATACAATGGACTTGTTTTGATTGCTTTTAATCAGACAACACAGACTCGGTGTCATGAACAACCAGCCCACTCATGTTATGAATGCATCCACTCGTATGGCGAGGAAGGGAATTAATTGCCGCTGTCCATCTGTAGTTTTTATATATGTATGAAGATTGATTTTCTCATTTAAGTTAAAAATGTACATATGAGTCACCAAGGTTCGCTGCTTCAGCTCAGTCTGACAATGGCTCTCTGTGGTGGGTTTTGAAGCTGGTGGGTGGGTGAGAGTCTACTCAACAGGCAAAGTTGTGTTGTTACCAACACCTCCATTATATGTCTCTCCTTCAGAACAACATTGAATATTTCTGAGTTTATGTTACAGAGCACTTTGACATTTAAAGACTGAAACCAACTTAGACAATTTTAAGAGGTTCTGCACTTTTGCTATTACAAATAGCTTATTTGTTTCACTTTAAATGTTTTGTACCAGCTCAGCTTTTCCACTGGGGAATTTTCAAGTTTGTGTTGCTGATGTACTGCCAATCATTTTGCTGTAGGTTTGTAGGGTAATCCATCAAAGTGAAGCCAAAAAGTGAGTCGTGTAGCTGACATGCTGACACACAGAGATGTGACCTCTCCTCCAGGACAGGAGCTCTACAGAGCATGTCATCTGACAATTTGCTTTATCATGTGTACTTATTTGGAGGTCTGCTAGTCAGCACAACAGCTCAGTTGAGGCAAGGGCTAATTTTTATTTTATGCAGTATTTAGAACTGGAACTATTAGACTTTCTATTTAAGCCAAACTTTATTACTTTCTAGATCTGAGACTGTTGACAAGACCAAATAAAATTTTAGCTATATAATGAAAAGTTGTAACCTTATATTACTTGCCTCACCTTAAAGCAAACCACTGGGTTGTGTCTTTTTTGCTCTAAATAGGAGCATATTTAACAAAATGAGCATCATGTCACAATAAAGAACACTTGAAACGAGCATTTGAAGCCATAATCTCATCAAGAAAGCATTTACTACGACCATTAATAAAGTGAGAAGTGGGCCCTTTTCTCATAGACTCCAGTATAATAAGATTTGTATTTGCAACCAGAGGATTCATCCCCTGGTGGCCATTAGAAAGAATGCACTTCTGAACTGTCTGGTGTTCATCTTTCATATGGAGTTGATAATTTTATCTTCATCTTTTGTTTTCAGTTATGTTGAGTCAAATTATCTAAAGCAGCACAATGGGACATTTATTTTTTAGCGCTTTGATCTTTTTATTCTGTCTGATTTTATTTGATCATCTGCTTACGTGCTCTGTGTTACAGATGGAAAACAGTTGTGTGCTGGCATCTAGGATATCTGGTCTTTGCTTCAAAAGTGCATAACTTTGAAGTCAAAATTGAATTTAGAGGTTCAGCGTTCAGTGTGGAGGGCAGGATTTGATAAATTTCAGCCTTCCTCTCTCCCATTGCTCCTCTTCATTCCACACAAATGAAAATGAGCTCCTGTGGTTAAAAAAATCACAGGAGCGTGCCTTGCTAATTGGGTGTTGTTCTAATTTCAGTTCACAATGTCATTTTGTCTTCCAGGCAGAACAGTTTGTCCTTCAGTTAATCTCAATTTCTACTCTAAATGCCCACTTTAGTTGCAGAATGTCTTTCTCTGTAATAGCAGCTATTAGCATTCAGACTCAAAGTGGTATTTGGTTGCTGCAAAAGCTGTAGTTTGTTAAGGATACAGCAGATTTAATGTGTGACATTTGCTGAGATGAAAGATAATTAAATGCTCTGCTTCTCTCTACAGTCTCCAAACTTCCAGCGAAAGAAAGAGGAGTTTCCTGCTTCGTTGGAGAAACTCCGGCAGCTAATAGAAGAAGAGGTTCACATCCTAGAATCATCCATTGTTGATCAGGTAAATGGCAAAAACAAGAGAAAACCTGCCTCCAATTAATTTTTTGACAAGTAAAACTTGTATAGAAGAATATAAATATAAAAATGAAAAGGTTCCTGTTATAAAATATAAGCAATAAAACAATAATATATGAATTATACAAGTGTAAAACAAGGGTTAACGTTATAATATAACAAAAATTACAATGCAAGTATAAGATATGATGAAATGCACAACTCATCTTTCATGAGTGAAGTCATTATAAATTTGTCTGAAGGTCAGTAGAACAGCAGCAGTAGGATCTGAAACATAAAACCACCACTGAAAAAAGCCCAGTCAGATCGTTATCACCTGTATTATTGAGGCATCAAGTATTTTATGCTTGATGTTGGCTGGAGTTGGCAGTTTCGATTTTAACGTAATGTCTGTTAAACATGAGTCTTTGCTAGAGGGTATGGGGCTAATTGCACAACACTGCCTTAACTGCATTCCTCCCAACAGTCTGTATGGGGGTTTGTTTTTCTTATTTCCACTCTCTTTATGCCATTGGCTTGATTCTTCCCTTCATTTCTTTGTGGGAATCTGGGCTCGCTTCTCTCTGTCTGTCTCTTCTCCCTTCCTTTCCCTCTTTGTGGATGTCTCCTGAGGCCATGTTCAGACAGGCAGCTCAAATCCGATTTATTCCCCTACTCTGAGGCCTTAATTGCAGAAAGTAAAATAATAAAAAAAGAACAATCGAGATAAACCCGCTTTTGAAAAGCTAGTCAGTTGGTTTTAATGTCACACTCTGAAGTTTTTTATGATCATAGTTTCATAAATGCAGATGTGCAACCAGCCAGTCCTACCGGGAATTTCGAAGATCTTAACTTTTTATCACCTCCACCCTGTGCTCTTACATAAAACTGATTGATGGAGCGTATTACCCAATGACATGACATGGTAGAGAGCACTGTTAGAGATTACCACATATATGATATTCATAGTCAAAAAGTAACACAAGTTAGTTTAATTTTCTGTTCAGCTGAAGAACTCTGATTCAGAAATTTAGTCACTTTCACTGTGGACAGTGAGGACTAAAGATCATATCTGGGAAAAACAAATCAGATTTGGCTGCTGAGTGAACATAGTGCCAGTTTGTCTCTCAGACTGAGTCACATGGACACATAGACACACAGACGAAGGGGAGGATGAGGGTGATCGTCATGTTCTGCCAGGATGACTCAGTCGGTCTGTTGTCTTTCAGCCTACAGCCGCTCACTGAAGGACTCTGTCACCTTGACAAGTTCAGACTCACAACCAGAACTTTATCTTCCAACTTGTTATGTACTCATAGGGTCTCAGTCCATTTCTTTTCACCTCCTCTCGTCTGTCTGTATTTCTCATTCCTGGTGATTCATCCTTCTTCTGTTTGACAAAGTGAGACTTCTGAGATCTGTTGCGTAGTACTCTGCAGACTAAATATATAGGATGACTTATAAGGTGGCTTATCTGTGCTTTGTCTTTTTTAATTGTCAACAGTTTCTCTGAGATTCAGTTGTTAAGAATTTTTCTTACCTCACCTTATACTAAATAAAACAATTCATACGCTTCATACGCTGGGTGTGTGGATCCGAGACAATAATTGAATAAAAATAGTCACAAATGGACCAGGATTTGTCAGTACCAACTTCATTACCTTGACTGCTTTTTCTGTCTGTATGATCTGTCCATTGTGTGCTGCTAGTATCAACTGGTGGAAAGATTATGTCCTAGTAGACTTCCGCCTAATTAAATGGTAAACAGGTTTCCACTGTAATCTAACAAAACTAAGACTCTGTTGTCTGCTGTAGTAGCTCTGAGCATCACCACTATGGTGCCTTGAATGAAATGCTCATTGTAAGGTATCAGCAGGTTATACTGCTTGGTTCCCAGAGTTGAATTAAGCCTAGTCTTAGACTAAAAGAAAATGTTAATCTCGGAGTAGGCTTAATTAGTGGCTGGGAAACTGAGCTGTAGTTTAGCAGCCTTGTTAGCATGTTAGCGTTAGGGTAAAATTATAGCTAAAGGGTAATAGGGTTATTAGCTTTTTAAAGCTGTTTGGCCACAAACCAAAGTAAAAGTACTTTTGGCTGCTCCCTCATTTCCCAAGGGGGGGGGGCATAATGGTTGGATTTGCAAGTTTAATTTGGCAGGACTTTTTTTTTGCTAGATCCTCTTCCTCATACAACCATCCAAGTTTGGGACTAACAATGGAGTACACTTATTTATGCTGCCCGAGGCTGGCTTTGAGACAGTCATTTATATCAGCATTCTTTCATTTCATTGTATATATAGTTTGATTTGAATATCACCATGAAATATATTGTTCAGTAACAGTTGAGACATTTTGTTCAATATTACAACTTCCTGATTGTCCCAGATGAAAAGTTATTTATCACTACATAATCTTTATCAATCTGATTAGCATGGTGGGTTTGACATGTTTTCCTCTGTTCGCATTAAAGTTGTGTTGACTAGTATTTTTGCATAAATGTTGTATTAAATTGTTGCATATTATCTTTTGTTCCCAGAGTTTACATCATACAAATAGATTCTGAGGAAATCTTACAAATATTATTCCTAGATTGAGCAGAAACTGGAGGTTTTCTTGTCTTTTTTTGTGATATTGCTGGTGGCCATTGAGAAAAATTTACTAGCACTAGTGAGTGGCACCTGAAAGCTCTAATGACTGTTCCATCTCAGGGTTTGGTGTGTGAGGACACGACAGGAAAAGAGGGACTGCTGGGATTTGCTTTTCTGAGCCAAGAATTGACCTTTCACCTCCAGCAGCTGCAGAGACAGACAGAGCAAGAGCTCAGCAACATACCAACACAGTGAGTCAAAATAGTTATTGTGGTATGGTATTAGGAGTTGTGAAAGTGTGTTTCCTTTCAAAGAGCATACTTTTAGTTTCTTGTTTCTTGGACTTGAGAGGAATGGATAGTTGATGAAGGTTGAGTTGTTTTCTTGTATCTTCAAGCACCTTGTAACTTCAAGAACACTGGTGAGCAACACCATTATCTGTTTTTTGTTCATAACCTTTCTGAACAATGTTAGTATGTTCAGTCCAAGACACTGGCTTAAGTTCTTGAATCAGGATATTCTTCTGCAATCTGGGTTATGTCTTAAATTACTCCGGAAATATTTTCAATAGTTGGTGTTTGTTGCATCATATGATCAAAGTACTTCTAGTTTATTGTCCTGATGGTAGTGAGAATTTCTTCTTCCTCCACACTGGTGACTTTGGCTGTCCAAAGTATCACCGGTATCCTTGCACCTCTAATCTCTTACAGGAAGCATTAGTTAATGTTCATGCAATAACACTGTGTAGGTTTATATGACAGTACGTAGAGTGATTACATTCTTGTCAGAACTTTTCCCATTTTCTGAAATGAAACACTGGTTCTCATCATCTTGGCACTGGAGGTATTTATATCATGGTAGTTTACTTCTACAAATGATGCTTCTTCAAACGTCTTAAAAGAAGAAACTAATCTGTCAAAGCGTGTATCTTTACGTTATCATAAAGATAAAACATTAGCAACCTATTTAAGAAGTAAGGCTCTACACCCCTACACATGGGGCTGTAGTCTGACTACTGGCCTGAACACTGGCTTATCCTGATTACCCTCCTACATATTAATGCATGATAAAGATTTCAACAGTCATCTTGACAGGCCAGTTTTCTCAAGAGTAGTTTGTTTTTTTATTTCTGTTGAAACTGTATCACGCTATGACAGGTTAGTTGTTGACAGATTTTCTCTCTGGTTCAGTTCTGCAGTAAGGACATCTGGAGATGATGAGTTTTTTTCATTGTTTTGTTTTGTTTGCTTAGTGAAAACAAAAAAGTCCTTTTGCACGTTAAACATTTTAGAGCGACATACTTAAACAAACTGAAAGCACCCACTTTCAAACCTAATATTCTAAAAAAAAAATGAATCTGGTAACATTAAAGTCGGTGTTTACTGAAGGATTGGTGCAGGAAATTATATGACAGAATAGATAAAATTCACAATTTATTCTTTACATGTTGACTAGTATCAGTAATCTTAGAGTTTAGGTTCCCACCAGTTTCTTTGATTGAAATCTACTGCTATGTGGTACTTCACCACATGAGTGAGGGTGGAAAACACCTCTGTTGGTTTGTGGTGTTTTGTCACACACCCGAAACATAATTGTGGGAGTTTTGCTGTATTTCATAACAGGAGCAGGCTTTGCTGAACAGGATCCTGCCTGCCTTTATATTTGGATTTCCCAAAAGAGGGAGTGGAGGGACATGGAGAGAAAGTGAAACTTAATGGCTCTTCTAATGAATTAGGTATATTTATGTGTTTGTGGACATGGTGATCTGTGTAATTTAATTACCATCAGTGGAGACATCCATACACTAGCATACTTTTTGACTCATTCTTATTCTAATGAAAAATATAAGAAATTATTAAAAGCCATTAACCTCATAACCTTAATACACATAACGTAAACAATTCCTGGTGTAAAGTTGCCAGTGCTGTGTGGAGTCATTTATTGGTCTTTTCTGGGCTTTTGTTGAGTTTTACTGTGCAAAGTTATGATTTTAACGTGATTGAATGTGATTGTCATCTTCAGTGAAGCATGAATAGACTTAGAAAAACTGTTTGGAGCAGCATCTGCAACCCGTCCCTCTACATCTCAGGCAGACAAATAACAAGCACATCCACGTTATGTAACAGTTGGCCAGATCAACAGAAGTGTGGATGTATGCTGATTGCAGTAAGATATGTGCATGCTGGATCCTCAACCCCTTGCTATATGGAGTTTTCTCCCGATAGCTCACTTCACTGTGAACAAAATTTCAGCCCCTATAGTTGAATATCTGGATCTGTCCAAACCTGAAGAGCTTTTGGCAACATCTGTAAAACAGAGACTTTTAAATAAGAATTTTATCAGATTAAATAGGGTGAAGTCAAAAACGTTTACACCAGTAAACCAAAAAGGAAATTCCTTATATGAGCTTTGTTCTGACTGTGCTGAAGTTGGCGGGTAAAACAGTTGAATTATATATATGAAAAACACAATACTGATGTTATTTGTTTTATGTTATGTTATGCATGAAAAAGTAAAATAAGTTGCTCCATGTCATTGGGTTTCTCTGTACGTTGTAAGGTAGGAGATAATTGCTGCTGTGAATTGGCACTACATTAAAAAAATGTCATTTAAGTGAGCTTGTGAACTGTTAGCAAATCACAGTAAATCAGATGGTAACAAGTCTTGGTCACCGCCCTGTTCTGTCTTCCTCTCTGTACTCCTGCCATCAACCCGTCTTTTGGCAGACAAGACGAGCTGAAACACATCTTAGGATTGAAGGTGTGGCAGCATACACACACCCACCCACATACACACACACACATTATTGTGAGCATATTCCTGGAAACCTCCTAATTTCTCAACCCTGTTGGTCCTCAGTGCCAACGCTGATCGTCTCTTGTCACAGCTTGGATCAAAAGCTTTATGAGCAGAGATGAATAATTTCCCAGTGAAACAGTTACATGTTTTCATCATGTTGCCCTGCCCAGTGCTACCAACTTATTGTATCCACTAAGCTTACTGGAAGAAGACGTCATCCTACATTAAATTTATTGGGGTTTTCTTTGGCTCTAAAGGAGGCTTACCTAATAATGTTGGAGCCAATGCTGGGTTTGGTTTTGAGCAAGGTGAATCTAAGACTCAACATTCTACCTGAGTAGTGCTTAACAAACAGTTTTCATAACAAGCACACAGCAAAACTTTGAACTTTTATAGCTTAGCTTCTTTGTTAAATAAACTCCTCCAACATAAGTTAGTCTCAGTCCTCTGACAAGACAACTGAGCCGCTGTTCTGAGAGTAAAACCTTAATCCCAACTGATCACTAACCCTGGTTTCAGTTGTCCTTCACACACTCTGTTCCTAACCTGAAATAATGAACAGTACTATACGCAGTGTGACTGTCCTATAATTCAACTAACTTACATACTACAGGCTACATCAATACGATACAATAGTAATATTCTTTTAATACTTTAACATATATCTGTATTTTCATAATATATTTGAAATTAAATAATTAGCTTACTGACATTTTCTGGTAATTAAGTAAGTGTACCCATATTCACCTCACCCCTCACCGGGTTCTATAGACCCAAAAAGAGAGGGTGCAGAACCGTGGTTTCCATAATTTCATATAGAAAACGCCTAATAGGTTCAGACAGTATGATGTTGCATAACTCCAAAATTAAGCTGTGTTTCACCACAGTGACGTTGGTGCCATCATTAGAAGCAGATCCTGTCAATGCCAGAATTCTGTTGGACAAATCCTCCATAGTGGAGGTTTGTTTTTGGTAAATTTTGACTTCAAAGCCTGGAAGAGCATTAGTTTGTTTTCCAATTTAACCCTCCTGTTATGTTGCGGGTCAGATTGACCCAGAACAGAAGAGATGTCACATGTCATCTGCATCACTACAGAAAA